TTGTTACACAGTACACAGTCATTGCAGTTACGTTCCAAATCACGAGCAGAATTGTAATGTTACTCATACAAACGCGTGTCCGTTTTAGTTTTTCATTTTGCTTTGTAGTAAACGAGGAGGAACTATGAACATATTTTCAGTCTGCATGTTTCGTCTTTCAGGCGAAATCGTGCTGCCATCTATCAGTGGTCCTATGAACTACATGTTATAGATTTCCATTAAATGTCGTATGCTATGTGTGTCATTAAAACAGTTGAAACTCGTATTCTTTTCCTACAATCGGAAATACCAACTTGACGAATGATCAAAGTCGTGCGATGGAAGGAGTATCATCCGCCATTACCCAAAATCTTCTGCGAGAACTGGTAACATCATCGTTAGTGGGAACGTGTTCGCAGATAATACGACGATCTCCGATACACATTAGTATCTCAAAAATGGCTGGAAAGAGTTTCATTACGTTCGGGGCTGAATAATTAATTATTACGTTCTTATGGATTGAGGTGGATTTGTCTGTAAATGTGTCACTTCTACAGATTAAGACGATAAATACTTGAGTGTATGAAGAGAGTAATGGTACCAATTAAAGGTTGCTTTGATTACCAATATGTGTTGTTATATACGTTTAAGGAGACTGTTTTTAACTTTTGCAAACCCCAGGGAGTAGGCGACTCTTTTCCAGTCCTGTTGCTTGTTACATAGTCCATTAAATGAAGTTCTCTTTAGCACGTGGTGAAAAATAATTCCTTTCCACAATATTCTTTCTGCGTTCAGCGTCCTTATTGAGAAGCTAACGGTCGCTTAGCTGTTTGAGGAATTCCCCGCCTTTCATTACCGCGTTCAGAACAGCTCGCCACGGGTCCACATCCTAAGTCAATATTTTTTTTAAAATCCTTATTAATAGTTTCTCTCATCTACGCCGATGTCTTCTTCAGGGCTTGTTTTCTCTCTCTGCTGTCACTTGCATGCTACGTGCCTCACCCATCGCATCCTCCTAAAAAGTTCTCATTAAACACTTTTCTCCAGCCTTTTGATATTCTCTCCCTCTTGGGTCCAAATATTCTCAAAATAATTATAAATATTTTGGTGATCCGATTTGAGTCAAATTATTGTTTTTTACATCCGTTTCTTAAACGAAATTTTACAAATATTTCCATTCCTTATTTTCAATGACGTATATTTTTCTAAGGGATAATTTTGCGCTTAACAGATTTAATTTGCGTATATTTTTCTAAAGGATAATTTTGCGCTTAACAGATTTAATTTGACTTACTTCAGGCAAGACTGAGACCACAATTTTTGTATTTTATAAAACAAAATAAGTAACAGTTAAGCTCCTGTGTCAGTAGCGCATCTCCATGCCTCGTCTGTTAACCAAATACAATTGAGAAGATTTTTACACATTTGAATATTCCTCGTCTGCCTGACGCCCCATTTGCTAGCTCAATATCAGAAACTGCTCTCCCAGTAACAAAATAAACGGATTTATGTCGTGCGACCACATCACGAACGCTGTCCTGCGTACGGTACATCGGCAGCATTATTTAGGAAAATGATGAGTCTGATGATACAAGAAGCAATTCAGCAGATAGTTTTCTCCCCGAATCGATTTTATACAACAAGGACATCGTACGATCCTCAACTAAACTTCGACGAATCTAGTAGGAGTTAACTTCATATCCGTTATCTGTGCTCTGCAGAATGTGTACATGGTCCAGTTGCCTTTCTCCCGAAAGTACTCACTGGATTTCGATTAAACGCCGTATTGGTGGGGTCCACGCGGAAAAGACGTAGGACAAATCTATTTGTCGTTCTTGTATATCCGATACGAATCCTGCGTTACATGAAGACACCGCCTTACTGAAATAAGGCTTGCCTCACTTGAAGTTTGAACGTAAAATGACATATCTTGTCAAGTTCTACAAGTTATTATTTTAAAGACAGATTATATTTTTATAGACGCTAAAATTATGTCAGAGTACCAAATTTATGGGCTTTAGAAGAATCATGAAGACACCGCCTTACTGAAATAAGGCTTGCCTCACATGAATTTTGTCAAGTTCTACAAGTTATTATTTTAAAGACAGATTATATTTTTATAGACGCTAAAATTATGTCAGAGTACCAAATTTATGGGCTTTAGAAGAATAAAATTCTTGCGCGTGAAGTTAGAATCGCATTTAATCTGAGACACACAGTCGTGGAGTTTGTCGTGAAATATTTCGCAACTAAAAAGCCTTTGTTTCTTGTTTAATGAATGCCTGCAGTTTGTGCAAAGCGAACGGTGAGTTATGCGGCTTGCAAAGTCTGTCCCTACGGAAGAGAATCTCCCCGTGTCAAACAGATTCGTTGCGATTTACTCAGTTTAAGGTAACAGAGATCACGCACGTTAAAGGAAAAGCCACCAGGACGACCACGGATTTCAGAAGATGTCCCGATGTCCTTGTTCCATAATCACAATGTGGACTCGTAACGCAGCTGGAAAGGTGCATTTCATCCCAGAGTAAAGAAACGCGTTTTGGAAAATTCTGAATTAGGTCAATTAGTCTACTTAGATGATTTTAGATTCAAACTATACAAACCTAGCGGTCTTAAGGCCTTATTTCAGTACTGTAAATCAATATTCGTTCGTTATAAGGCACTTCGGCTATGTGGCAGCCTACTGGTCTCCTATGGACGGGTTCATAGACAAGATTCATATTTAAATCAGATTGTTTTCTTTCTTGAAGCCACAATGTTATTATTTTAAATTATACTAAAGCACTATTATAACAACGTCATGTATTTTCCGAAAATATACAACCACACATCAATGTGTGGCGTTACTGTAAGTCCCACTGGCACCAAACTCAACTCTGAAGTTTGTTCGTCCGCCATGTTAATAATATCGATAGTATAAAATCGAAAAGTACGATTATTTGGTGATCTCCAATGAAATTATAACCGTATTAAATTTAATTCCGTTTCATTCAGCGGTTCTCGAGCTGAATCATGCTGACAGACGGACAGACAGACAGGATCACCTCCATATTCCTTTATTTCTTGCACATAGTGCAGAGAACGCAAAAAATACTGC